CATTTCACAGATTCTACATCCGGAATTCAAATTTTCGGATTAAAAATTGACTTTAAGAAAAAAATTTCCCGATTCATTGGGTCAAAATTAAAAAGATCCCGACACGTAAATTAGATGAAACCAAAACCACCTGTGGTTTATTTTATTTCTTGTAGACAAAAACATGAAGGAGGGAAAAAAAAAATAAAGGACGAAAAAACCGATTCACGCACCCCTTCGCTTTTTTTTTTTTTTTTTTTTTTTTTTTTTTTTAAAAAAAAAAACATATTATACAAAATAATAAGAAACTAAATAAATACCATACCCAAGAAAACTATTGTAAATAAAAAAAAAATTGAAAAAATAAAATAAAAAAAGAATGATTCATCACATTATATTACTAAAACATTTCCCTCTAATTAGGTAGGTAATACACTTACTTAATCGAATTACTTTATTAATTTTATTAACTATATTTATTAAAAATTTAAGCAAATTTTCCCATTATATTTTATTTATTTTATTTTATTTATTTTTTTTTAATCTTTCTTGAACGCTTACAAAGCGCAGAAAGAAAAAAAAATAAAGAAATATCATTTAACGTGAAAATTTTACAAAGAAATCTATATAAATTTACATGATAGTTATTCTTATGCAGTCGTCTTGGGCGCCTCTTTGAGCAACAGCTGTATGAGTAAAGAGAGAGGTAATCAAAGTGTTAGATAAATCAATAAAAAAAAAAAAGAAACATTGTATCTTATCTTAATAAAGGAAATACTTACGCATAATAACTGCTTGATGAGTGAATGAAGAAGACATTGTGCAAATACGGTAAAGACCTGGTTCGGGAAGACCGTTTTCAATTTGTTGTACCAAAACACCATTCTTTGCAACGTCATTTAAACCTTTGAAGAAAGCGAAGATTCTAGCATCAGGAACTTGATTTCCATTGAGTTTTTGAACGGTGACGTGATTATGTCCTTGGATGACTCCGTTGTTGTTAAGCGTTTGTGGAGTATCGTAATAATCAAAGTTTGGATCAGAGAAGAAACCGGTATCAAGGTTAATCGATTTGACCGCAAATTCGATTGGTGTATTTCTCTTGATCATTGCACCATTCTTTGGTTTAATGATTATGGATGAAACCATCTTATTGACGGCAGGAAGTTGTCCGATAACAGTGCTAACACAAACTTTTGCATTGTTATTCTTATTCTGGGTACCATCAGCAGGCGCGAAAGCTCGATTTTGAGCGCAGATTTGAGCTGGTCCTGGACTTTTAATGGCATCACCAGGTGGGGTGTTTAGGGTTTGAGCAATCACGCCATTAGAGAAGAGAGCGATGAAAGCGGTAGTGAAGAGTAAATTGAATTTCATTTTTGATTAAGTACAAAGGTAAGAAAGTGTATATAAAATGAGAGAGAAAGAGAAATGAAGATTCTATTCTATTTTTTTTTTTTTTATTTCCTCAAAGAAAAAAAGGAGAGAAGGATCAAAAAAGGAAGGAGATATAATGAAAGAGGGAATGGGAATTTAATGAGCCAATTTTATCAATGATAAAAATATCTAATGAGGAGTTGGTCACTTGGAGGAATTTTGAAGAGTTTTTATATGATTTATGAGCATTTTTCGATATATATAGATGATTATAATTATTATTACAATAAAAGCGAATTGCACAAATATGTATAACAAATATCGTGCGAGTTGAATAATTAAATGATTAATGTATTTAGCTCATCCACATCACAATTCTTTGCGATGACCTTATTTAGGAAAGCTCTAAAACTTGGAGTCCAAATTGAATCGGGGATAAATTTGATACTTACCGGATTAAGCTTCTACAGAAGTACTACCGAATCAAAAAATCAGGGTGACCAAATCAATAAATTTGTGTCACATCGTAATATATAAACAATCATGCACAATCGAATTTTTTAATTAAAACAATGAAAAATTTAATTAAATTTAAAACTTCTAAACCCCTTGATTAATTAATTAACTAAAAAATATACCTTTTGATAACTTTGATATGGCGGGCGTATGATATCACTTTTCTTTATTTTTATCATGGTCTCGTGAGTCGTGTAACGGTTCGCATGCATTTAAAAACGTTCTTTCCTTGAAGTAGTTACATGTTTATATTAAATTTTTTTTTTTTGTTTTTTCCTGAAAAAATTTTATCCATAATCCGAAACTAAAATGAAAAATAAAGGAAAGGTGCTTTTTGTAAATCTGGTAAATCTAATGATTAATCATCGATTTTCTTTTCTTCCTCCTCTTTTTAAGTTCATACTATCCAAAAAAAATAAAGGTACACATCTCTATTAAAACAAAAAAAAAAAAAACAAAAAAATAATGAGGAACGAATGCAAAATTTTTTCGTTAAACGTTAGTACTACTGCGAAACAAATTTATCTCAAATTGCTCGTTTGAAATGCATTGAGATTAATAATTAATTAAATCCTTTCGTTACATTAAATAAATATTATTTGTTATTTATTGTTTACAGGTTACAGAGAAAATAAAATTTCAATAAAACAAGGAATAAAAGATGACGATTTCATGAATATAGCGAAACATTTAATTAAAGTAATTACAAAATCACGGATCAACGATTTAAAATCACGTAAAAATGCTAACTAACATGCTGAACTTTTGCCAAGGTTTAATTTATTTAATTAATTTCCAAAATGGTAACGAGAAGTTTTAAAAAATGTTTTCTTTTTTGTATAAATTCAAAAAATTTTTCTCAGTTTTAACCTTTGCTTCTGTTAATATCACCTTCTCATCTTTGATGGAAAATGTTGCGTTTCAATCATTTTTTTTTTCGTCCCATTATATCGGGGAAGGAATCCTTTCATATAATTTTTTCGGAATTCCCATATTTAAAATTCTGCACTTGTCAATTCAGAAAAGTTAGTTATATTGTAGCAAAAAAAAAAAAAAAAAGTTCCCATGAAACGCGCGCATGATTTCATCCAATCATTCGATCCATGTAAATCCTTAACGAGAGAAGATAGGAAATAGGAACGTTCATTGAGGGTGAAAATCACACTCACTGATACAAATGAGTTCATATAAAAAACGCACCTTACCAAAGAAATGCAATAAACCCGTCAAGTGGTCAAATAATATCACACTAGTCACACGCGAACATAGATATGCGGTTTCAAATGAACAGTTAACCCTATTTTGGTAAGTATCCTTGGAAATTTCCGGCAAGCGTTAGCCTGTTATGAAAAAACGGTCATAATTCTCGATCGATAATTCGTCCAATCTATCGTTATTACAAGCAAGCCGGTACTTTCCATGGAATTTATCACACATGTATTGAAAACGAAAAGAATTTTTGTTTCATCCAATTATCGGCACCTTTGACCGATTTAAAATGTTTCAGATGCTTACAGCCAAGTTATCAATGTTGTGACTTCCTTGATAAAACCGGATTCAAATGTTCACTTTTTTTTTTGACGGTTTTATTAGTTAAAGTGTATTACCAGTCTCCAACTTTCGGATATATCGCAAAGAATTTTATATGCATTTTTTTACTCGATATCATTATTGATACTGACTGCATGACGACAAATGATGACCGATATAGTCATGCCCGATAGATACGTCAAGCATAGTGGCGTCCAATTACATTCATCGCATGACAGTTTCAGTCAAGTCATCGCACGTGAATAGCAAAGAATTACTCTCCGTTTCGTTGTTGAATGGATTTCGAATTAACACAAGATATGCCGCAGTGAGTCTAAGGTATTGAAGTCTATATATAGAAAAGAGAATTCTTCTATGAGGACAGTGTATCTTTTTATGCTATGACCATTTCTCTTCTTCCACTAATGCTTGACATGTGCATTGTTTCTATATTTCAATTTTTGATGCATATTTTACCCGATCGAAATCTTTTTTTTATTATTTTGAAAGGTTACACGTGGAATCGAAAAAAAAAAGTGATGGCGCAGCGAATCCTTTCAACCTAAAATGATTTTAACTTGATTATAAATTATTTATTTTTAAAAAAATTTTCGGATCTGCCACAAGCAAAGAAAATCTTATTTTTTGTGGATGTCAAAAAACTGCCCGTTTTGGAACTTTCTCAATTTGACAGAATGACAAAAACATTTATTTATTTTTTTTTATCTCTTTCTGAAAGTTGTAAATCTAACAAAGGGCGGATGATAACGTTCTTTGTATCATCCTTATTTAATTATTATTTTGTCGGCTTAGAATTCGTTTTTTTTTTTTTGTTTTTTTGCCGCTTAAGTTGGGCGATTACTAAAAAAAGTAATGCCTAGGCCGAGTTGGGTAAGCAATTTCAACTCTTGTTTGTGATGTTCCGTATATTTAATTTGCTAGATTGTGGTTCGTGACACCACATTGACAATACATATAAGCAAGAACTCCATTGATTCAACTTTATTTGTAAATTTAGAAAACTTTTTTAGTAAAAGGCGTGGTTTCATGTTTCAACAAATTCTCTCCTTTACGAATTAAAGAGGTACTTTCTATTATAGGTTGCCAGATAACTAGAACCTTTTTTTTAATTTTCCTTTAAATAAAACCTCCCTTCCCTTTTGGAAATCTTTTTTTTTCTTTTTCCAAATAAAAATTAGAGAAATAATCTCATTTTGTGGTGGTCTATAAAGTGTTCCAAAATAAACCTTTTTTTTTTAAAACCAACCAACTAGATCGCCACCTTCTTTAACTCCGGAGACTCCCCAACCTTCCTGTTCCTTAAATCGTTCTCAACTTTTTTTTTTTGTCAGCCCCGTTTGTAAACTTTTTAACTAAAATTTACATGAACGAGAAAAACGAAAAAAAAAAATAAAGTCTTTAAGAAAAGAAACCAATTTGAATCATAAGTCTAATTTTTGAGATATCTCTTCTCCTCTAGGTGTGGTTTTTTTTTGTCAAAGATTCTGTGAAATAAAATAATTGATGATAATTTCAAGAATCTGTACATAAAATTAATTGAAAAAAAAAAGTAAAAAAAAAAAAAAAAACGTTGAAATATGATAACACAAGATCCAGCAAAACTTGAAAAATTACTTGATATCGCTAAAAAAGGTATTCTTTTCTTTTTTTGGATTTATAGTAGGAAGAAAAGAAAATCAAGAGAAAATAATCTTCTAAATTCGATCATACTAAACTTTACCTTGATTAATCATTATAGGCGGTATTGGAACATGCGTAGCCAATCAGGACATACTTGCAAATTCTGAAGATGATTTGATGTTTTATACGGGTAAAGCTTGATTATAATTTGGATCGTTTGCTGAAAAACTTGATCAATCCTGCTTTGAAAAAAAAAAAAAAAAAAAAAATCTTAATTATTTTGATATTCATAGGAGAAGTTATAACCGTCCTGAAACGTATCAAAAATGATTTATATCTTGTAAGTTCTAGATAATTAAATTATCTGAAACTTTCATTCTTAAACTTTTTTTAATACCCTTTGCTTCCGTTTAAATAGGGATATTGTAAAGATGTTATAGGGATATTTAATGGTAAAACGGTCGATTTTAATGGACCTTTAAAAAACCCAAGGTCATTGAGATTGGAAAGAACTTCAAGCAAAATTTCATCGATATATAGTTTTGATCAAAGTTCCCCCCAACAGGCAAGTTTTCATTATCCTTCAGATGCCACAAGGTCAACTCAATCTTTATCAAATGAGTCAATTTTAGGATTATCAGGTATGCTAAACATGTAATTTCAAATAGTTCATAATAATATTGAATTGCTTAAATTAGCTAGGGTTAAGTTTATATAAACCACTCGTTTTAATTCCCCTTTTTTTTTTGCCAAGTTTAAATTAATAAAACTTACAAAAATTAATTTTTTTTTTTAGGTATAGGAAATAATTCAACACCTTCATCACCTATAATTAATATTATACCAGCTACTAGCGAAATTAATTATAATAACAATTCATCGCTTTCGCTTAATCAAAATAATGCTCCAAGAGTTATTCCATCACCACGAAAATCATCAATATCATCTGAACATTCAATACCAATATCACCTCGTAAACAAAGTACGATGCCACAGTTATCGAACAATCCAGAATCCATCATGCCACGTCGAAATAATTCTGTCCCAATACTAGTTATAAATCAAGAACAATCAATAAAATCTACATCTACATCTACATCCGCATCCGCATCCGCATCCGCATCTACATCCACATCTACTTCATCATCATCATCATCATCACCATCACAATCTCATACTTTAATTTCAAGTGATAAATTTATAAATGCCCGAAAGATTTATAGAATTTCTCAACAACCTCCAATCAACGGTCAAAATCAATCTAATCACAGTGACTCAAGTAATAATGATCAAATAATTACGAGAAAACCTCAAAATTTTGCTCCGATAATTCCAGGTAACGGCCAAAATAATATGCAAAATGTCATAATAGAAAGGCCTCTTGTTACAACAAACATTACGGGAATGTCAAATGATCCAGTTCCTCTAACATCAAAGTCGCGAGACGATCATCATCGATCGGGAAGCATCTCAAACTCCGATATTTCAGTACAAAGTTCGTCAATAGCATCATCACCAGTATCCATTAACAATAAAGGACATTCTCAAATATTTGGTTCTCCATTGAATTCACCAACTTCACCTAAATCTTTTCAATTTAAATCACGTAACCATAAATTTAACATACCAAATGGAACTTCTACGGTTAATGGAAGCACTTCATCAGAATCAATATCTTCACCACCTCGTTCGACTTTTGGACGAAATTCACCTTCAATTCCACAGCGAAAATTTTCCATTGCATCTACGATCGGTCATGATTCTCCATCAACAACACCTTTACCCTCACCAAAGTTGACACAAATAAAAGTGATTCAAGAGGAACAGATTTTGTTGGACGGTCGATATTCAACGTCCACTACGCCATTGCCTTCACCACGTTTCGTTCCTAGTAACATGATCAATAATAATAATCATCAATTTGGAAGTGATGAAGGTAGGATGACTTCTGCAAACACACCAGCACCAACGCCTGTTATAATCACCCCAAAGATTACTCTTGAGGATAGTGATATTGAAGATAGTGATGATGATCCAGAGGAAAACTTAATTGCTTACGCGTCTTCCAGCAATAATTCAACGAAATCATCATCATCAAATAATCCGTCAAAGATTGCAGAAGTTCCTGTACTAAAGGTTGAAAATGTTTCCGATCCTATATCTGATACCCCCTCGGAACAATTGAGTACAAATGAGAGTGAAGAGATTAGTTCTGAAGACGATAAGGTTGTAGAAAAGAACGAATCCGAATCCGAAGAAACACAATCCAGTAAACCTGCTAAAAAGAAGGATCAAATCCTTGCCATTGATGAATACGGTTTCGTTTATGATGTCACGGAAGAGGATATCCCTCCAGGAGTTGATAGAATTCAAAGAATGTTCGTATCGGAACGAAGGTCTTTTTTTCTTTTTCTTAGTAGCTGGAAAATAATTGGTTTGAACGATGTTCTTTATTATTAGTATTCAGGCACCGGGTACAGAAGAGAAGACTACGCGTACAATTCGGTTGTATCGTGAACGTGAAGCGAAATGGGTTGAACTTTTTGGAAGTTTGAATTCTACTATGATCCAAGACAATAGAAAAGTACAAATTAATTTAAAATCTATGTTCGGATTGCGTATTCCTATTAAGAAAAAAATTATTTTACAGATCAAGAAATTGGTTCGTTCTGGAATTCCAGAATCCGTTCGTGGCAAAGCATGGCAATTTATGGCCGGTGCAGACAAGTACAGGAAACCTGGTGTTTTTGACGTAAGTATTTCGGGTGCGTGGATCTTTTTATTTTTAAAAAAAAAATTTAAGTTTTTAAATTTATGGTATCGCTTGGCAGGAATTACGACGTCGACCAAAGCTACCCATTTACGATGTTATTGAAAGAGATATTCATCGTTGTTATCCAGATCATATTCAATTCCGGGAAGATTCTGGATTTGGGTACGTAAGAGAAAGGGGGAGGAGAGAGAAAGAAACCTTTTTTATTCACAAATTATTTATATAGGCAAGATGACCTTCACAATATTTTGAAAGCTTATGCTCATTACAACCCAGTGGTAGGATACTGTCAGGGGATGGGACGTTTGGTTGGTATGATGTTGATGCAAATGCCAGCTGAAGACACCTTTTGGTTGCTCGTTGCGACTATTGAAGAATATATGATTGGATATTTCACACCAACCTTATCTCAGGTTCGAATTGATTCGATGGTTTTTGAGCAACTATTAGCTGATCACGATCCAAAGTTGGCACAGCATTTGGTAATTTTAGATTGATTTAAAAAAAATTCTCTTTAAAAATTGATTTTAGCAGACAATAATATTTATTTAAAAATTTATTGATTTTATACTTTACAAATAATTTAGGCAGAGAATGATATTCTACCACTAATGTATATTACTCAGTGGTTTATGACAATTTTTACTATGACTTTACCATGGGCCTCAGTTTTACGCGTTTGGGATATATTTTATTTTGAAGGTTGGAATGTTTTTTTTGAATTAAACTTAAAGTTTGCCAAAATTTCATTCTCGTTAATCATAATTGTTTCTTTTTTAGGGGTGAAACTATTTTTCAGGATTGGGTTGGCCATTATGGACTGTTCAAGGGATCGTTTACTAAAAACTTGTCCAACGAATTCAGAAATTCTCGGTTTCTTGTTGCATATACCACATGATTTGTTAACGCCCGACCTATTATTAGGAGCAGCGTTCAAAATTCGATTAAAGCGTAGCGCAATTAGAAGAATAACTAAGAGAGTTAATGCAATGGAAAAGAATAATGAAATTGGGTCGGATTCAGCATCCGTCAATACAGCGGGTGGTAGTAAGGAAACCAGAAGGGGATTAATGAAGAAATCGAAAAGTATTGAGAAATTAAAGATTGATGGCGTTGAATTCAAATTAGTCGGCGAATGAATGATTGATATGGGGTTATTTTATTTTATTTATTAAGTACAACACTTTTTTTTTTTCATGAAACAATTCCATCAACTTGTTTTACTTAATAATTTTTATATATCTCATATCCTTTATTAATATTATAAATTTTTTGGAAATTAAAAGACGACAAAGTTTAAGTATATGATTATTAAATAAGATTAGTGTAGTGTACATAAAAATTTAATCAATCATGGGAGGGTTTATTATATTTATTAATAAACATTATTATTTATTTTGCTAACTTAATAAATGAATATTTTTATCATTGAATGTGAGACAACTCCTTTTTTCATATGATTTTATTTTCCAAATAAAAATGTTTGAACGTGAAAATCATTCTTTTAGAAACATTTTTTCTGCATTAAACAAGTTCATTATTGAGTTAATATGGTAAATGATTTGTCTTTGGAATTTGAAATAAACATGTATTGATTAAATATTAAGGAAACGAAAAAAAAAATTTTTTCTCTTTTTTCTTTATAAACTAAAAAAAAAAGAGATTCTACGTAAAAAATGTCTTCTCAACCGACAAAAGATTCGATTTCCGAATCAAATACACCAAAACAAGTACCAATACCAATAAAGACAACGAAAATACAAAATTTAATTAAATCAGACATCAATTTTATTGAACCTCATCCGAATGTAATAAAACGTAATCCTACGCAAGCGAAAAGAAAAAAAATTCCATTTGTTTGGACCGTTTCATTAAAATCCTCAAATTCAATTTATGATTATGATGTCGTAGAAGGAAGGGGTAACGATTCATTAGAATCGGGAGGGGACGAGGAAGGGAGCGACGTTGCCATTAATGGAAATTAAGATGTTATTATTATTATTATTATTATTATTATTTTATAAACGTAAAAAATCTCGTAATTTTGCACATTTTCAAAAAATCAGCTTTTGCATAAATATCAAGTACTTTTAAGATAATTTACGGGAATTTTTTTTTTTTATTTTTTATAAATCATGAGCGGATTAAATGGTCATATTGTACATATCGATTAATATATGTAATTAAAAGTTTTGTTTTAGTTGAAAATATACCTTTTGGTACAAGTGAAATAAAGTTGAGAGAAGTTTTTCAACAAATTGGACCTATAGTCTCTTTTCGGTTTGTGACCTTAATAATAAGACGAAAGAAAAAAAAAAATGTCGCGATTTATATTTTTTTTTTCGATAGAAATTTTTTTGACCTTGATATTTTCGACTAAAAAAAAAGCCTAGTTTTTGAAAAAGAAAAACAATCTACAGGATATTGTTATTGCGAATACAGTATTTATTTTTTTAAAAAAAACTAGCGTTCGGTAAAGAATATATATATGATTGGATATTTCACACCAATCTTTATCTCGGGTTCGAATTGATTCGATGGTTATCACGATCCAAAGTTGGCGCAGCATTTGGTAATTTTAGATTTGATTTTTCTCTTTAAAAATTGATTTTAGCAGACAAAGTTTATGATTTTATACTTTACAAATAATTTAGGCGGAGAATGATATTCTATCACTTATGTATATTACTCAGTAGTTTATAAAAATTTTCACTATGACTTTACCATGGGACTTAGTTTTACGCGTTTGGTTATTTTGAATGTTTTTGAATTAAATTTAAAATTTGCCAAATTTCATTCCCGTTAATCATCGTGGTTCCTTTTTTTTAGGGGTGAAACTATTTTCAGGATTGGGTTGGCCATTATGGACTGTTCAAGGGATCGTTTACTAAATCTTGTCCAACGAATTCAGAAATTTCTCGATTTCTTGTCTTGTTGCATATACCACTAGGAGCAAGCGTTCAAAATTCGATTAAAGCGTATCGCAATTAGAAGAATAACCAAGAGAGTTAATGCAATGGAAAAGAATAATGAAGTTGGGTCGGATGCAGCATACGTTAATACAGCGGGTGGTAGGTAGTAAGGAAACCAAAAGGGGATTAATGAAGAAGTCGAAAAGTATTGAGAAATTAAAGATTGATGGCGTTGAATGATTGATATGGGGCTATTTTATTTATTAAATACATCAATTTTGTTTTATATATCTCATATCCTTTATCATTAATATTATAAATTTCTTGGAAATTAAAAGACGAAGTTGAAGTATATGATTATTAAATAAGATTAGTGTAGTGTACATAAAAATTTAATCGGGTTTATTATATTTATTAATAAACATTTTATTATTTATTAGAAACATTTTCTGAGTTTTCATTGTTGAGTTAATATCAATATGGTAAATAAACATGTTTTGATTAAATATTAAGAAAACGAAAAAAAAAAAAAAATTTGGGGGGTTTTTTTTCTTTATAAACTAAATACTGTAAAAAAAAAAAAAAAAAAAAAAAAAAAAAAAAAAAAAGAGATTCTACGTAAAAATGTCTTCAAAACCGACATACGATTCGATTTCCGAATCAAATACACCAAAACAAGTTATCAATACCAATAAAGACAACGAAAATACAAATTTAATTAAATCAGACATTAATTTTTATCCGAATGTAATAAACGTGATCGTACGCAAGCGAAAAGAAAAAAAATTCCATTTGTTTGGACGTTTCATTAAAATCCTCAAATTCACTTTATGATTATGATGTCATGAGGGAAGGGTTAACGATTCATTAGAGGAGGGGACGAGGAAGGGAGCGACGTTGCCATTAATGGAAATTAGAATGATGTTATTAATATTATTTTTTCTATAAACATGTAAAAAATCTCGTAATTTCAAACAACCAGTTTTTGTATAACTTTTTTGTTAAATTTAATCAATTATTAATCGGTTGAAATCTTTATTTATTATAAATCATGAGCGGATTAAATGGTTGCAATATAATTCTTGGTAAGGTCATATTTTACGTAACGATTAAGATACGTTTTTTTTAAAAAACAAATTTTTATTTTTTAATATCGAATATACATCGTTTTAGTTGAAAATATACCTTATGGTACAAGTGAAATAAAGTTAAGGGAAGTTTTTCAACAAGTTGGACCTATAGTCTCTTTTCGGTTTGTGACCTTTAATAATAAGACGGAAAGAAAAAAAAATGTCGCGTTATATATTTTTTTTTTTTCTCATTTTTTTTTTTTGACCTTGATATTTTCGGCTAAAAAAAAAAAAAGCCTAGTGTTTGAAAAAGAAAATAAACAATCTACAGGATATTGTTATTGCGAATATCACGGTATTTACTTTTTTTAAAAAAAAAAAACTTGCGTTCGTAAAAATTTACACCATCGGTCGGTAAAACTATCATTTATTTGTAATTAAAAAAAAAAAAAAGATCCTGCTACTGCCGCAAGTGCTATAAGAAATTTAAATAACGTAGAAATGGAAGAACAAAGATTAATTGTTGGATACGCCGATAATAAACCTCCTTCGACAGCTAATGAAGTTTACAGATTAGATCCATCTTTTAAAACGTCGGCTCAACAACTTTCTCAACAACAACAAAGATCATTACTACAACAAGAATTACCTACTCCTCTCAAAAGTTCTGATAAATCGGATTCATCATCCGGAATGAATGAAGTACAACTTCTTGATGTCTTATTAACCTTACAGGTAAATAAAAAAAAAATAAGATGAATTATATTTCTCTCTCATTTTTATAACCTTTAAAGTTTTTCACTTTTTTTATCTCTTTAGCTGTATTCTCAATCTACTAATGAAGATCGAGTTAAAGAATTATTACTACAAAATCCCCTATTGGCTTATGATTTATTTAGAATCCTGTTTCAACTTGATCTTGTCGATGGGGATATTCTAAAGGTTTTTTTTTTTAAAAAAAAAAAAAAAAAAATCGGATTGCTTTCGCGTTGCGAGATTTCCATTTATTATATTATGATCATATTTATTTGACTCTTTTTTTTTTAATAGTTAGTGGTATCTGAACAACAACAGCCTAAGCAAATTTGTCCTACAACATTTCCTACATCGGTGATGACAGATATGAACTTTCAACCCTCTCAACTGAATCAGATACAAATGCGGCAACAATATCAAGAACCCCAACCCCAACAACAGAAACCTTTGCTGCAACATCAATATCCACAACATCTGCAGCTGCAACAACTGAAAGAACGCGAACATCTGCAGCAATCTCCACAGCAACCTCCGCAGCAATTTTCTCAAACCATCCAGCAATCTGTACAACAATCTCCTCTCCCTCATATGTCAACTATGCAAGGAATTCAATCTGGAACAACGTTCAATTACGGATCTCAAATGCAAAGTTCAGCCGTATTACAAGCTTTACAACCCGGAACGAACCTTAATAACATCTTTATGAGTAAAATTTTTTTTTTATATATCTATATATCTCGATATACTTTCTTATTTAAAAAAAAATTTGTAGGCGACTTGCAAATTCAAGAACAAAACGCCGTAAGCATTTAACCATTTAAATTTATCGTTCCTCTTTTTTTAAGTGCACGAATGCACTTTACCTGTATTATCATTTCTTTAGACGATTATTCTCCAACTTCTTAATCTTACACCCCAACAAGTTGAGATGTTTCCTCCTGAACAGAAAAGTCGTATTTTGGCTTTGGTATGTCAAATGAATATTCAAAGATATTTGTCGAAAAGATTAAATTTAGTAATAATTCGCTTTACTTTTGCAATAGCAACAACGTATTCTTAGAAGAGGTTAACAATATAAATATAAGTTGAATTTTTACTTATATGGAATCGATTATCTTGGAATTTGTAAATATGATTCGATTTTTTTTTCTAACAAATAAATGTGTACCGTTCTCACTTTACAAGATCAAAAACTTTACAACGTATTTAACTATTGGTTAAATTTGAATCATCTTTAAAACATATTTATTATTAAAATCAAGTGACGAACAAAGTAATAGTATGAACCGTAACGTGTACTGTATGATCTAAGTTAATGTCTTGAGCTATTCTATCCCAAATGGCAACATGTTCATAATTCTCAAAATCATCTCGATAATTCTATCGTAGATTGATTAGGTCATTAGTCGCGTCAAAGGTCCACATTATTACTGCCATTTTTTATTTTTGCTAATGAGTGATTTTATATCTACAAAATAAAAATATACAAATCTGGGAAGAACGCGTGAATTAAGTCGAGTAGGATTATCGAATTCTTGCCAAATGATATCATTATTAACACCACGCTCATAGATTTTCACTTTGCGATGGACAATTACAACTACTTCGAGCCCAGCGCAGAACATATGACAACCCCAGTTGCGATCTCATTTTTTATTTCAAGTAGAAATAATATTGCAGATTCGTGTAACAATTCAATACCATCGCTAGAAGTTTTGTGCGCAAAAGGATCGATTGATCCTCCTTCCTAGATAATCATTAATATCAGAGATATCAAATAAACAAATAGCCATCACAATTAATATACTCACCTCATTAATCCATCGTAACATTTTCTCATGGACTTTCTGGGATGGAAATCACATCCTCATTATTTTCATTCAAGATTTAATTGAGCCTTTGATGGAATTACAAATATAGTGATACTAACTTTAATCTCTGCGTTACAATCAATCTTATTTAATGAAAAGTAAGATGAATTGTATCCATAAACCATAATTTTATACAAAAGTTCTTTCAATACTTACTCTTCGAAAATTAACATTTATAGTAAAATTCTCAGTTATCCTAATTATAACCATTCAATTCTGTATCAAATTGATCTTTTGATAAAGTATGAAGTATTGATTATAATCATGCAATTTTTTTCATGGTGAATCTTGCTTGACAATGATGGCAAATTATAAGAAATTTACTATTTTTTTAATGACAACTTAAAATTTATAATAAAAATAATGTCATTCGAGATCATTTAAGATCATTTTAAGGTCTACTACTTCATAACATATTTTTCCATAAGTGTAAAAATAGACTTGTATTTAATTAGAACTAAAGTAAATATGATATGATAAAACCTAAAAGTTCATTAAAAAAAAACAAATAATAAAAATTTAATCAGATAAAGTCTATTACAAATAAAATCTTATCTATTATAAGGTATTTTTTATTATATAAACAAATGTTATTGCTGAAGATCTGTATAATTATACTTTCTTAATAACATTTTTCAGGTTACTATCTAAGATTATCAGATAAAACCAAAGGTTTTGACAAGCATTAATATCAAAATCTATTAAAATCTATTGAAACTAAAAGGTTTCAACTTTACCAAATTGTAATTAATATTTGATTCTACAAACTTAACAAAATTAATTGATTTAATTTTTAGAAATATAAAAGATTAGGTTACCTATATAAAAAATATATATAAAATATTATATACTGTAATATGTAAAATATCATAAATTTCTGTAGCAAGCAGTTTTTCTAAATTTTTAAAAAGTAATATACATAGCTTTATAAATAGTTTTATAAAATGCATATAAAATGGTATTATTATAATAAAATACAAAAAGTTAACATATATAATATAATCATAAGATTTGTCATCAAACTTTAAATTAAGATATAAAAATCATACTTAAAATACAACAAAAAAATTTATTAAATTAACTCACATAGTATAATAAATTAGATTTAGCATTAACTTATTTTTTAAAGATATTATAATAAATTTTTATTAAAGATTTTAATTAAAAATTTAATAATTTTTTAATAATATTATTAACGTATAATCTTTTAAATTATAACAGTTAAACACTATATTCAAGAGTTAACTCTTTTATAGTTTACATAACAAATTAAAGGTTAATAATTTGAGTAAATAGTTTTATTATATACTGTAAGATATATTCAAATCCAGTAAGTTAATAATTCTATTATATACTATAAAGTCTATTCAAACCTATTATAAATTAAATATATAATTCAATTATATACTGCTGAGTATATTCAAGCTTACATTAAGTTAAATAAGTTATGCTATTATACAGTTAAGTATATTTTACTAATTAATCAAAATTAAATGTTAATTATATTGCTTAAAAGAATGTTATACAAAGGTTTTCAGTAAATTAAAAAAGTTTATTAATAAATCAATAAAACAAGAGATAATAAATAATAAAATAAAAAATAAAGAACTAAGGTAATACATAGTAAAGTTAGGGATTACATATAATTTTTGAGATGAACTAATCGAATTATATCTAATAATTAATAATTATTCTTTTTTATGATAAATTTAGTTTTCTATATATACATTTAATATTATGTCTAATAAATCAAATATGGGTTCGTTGCCAGCAAAATCAAGGTCTGAGATAATTTTATAATTTTTGATAAAAAAGCAATCAAAATTTACCCCTGATTTTTAAACCAATTATTGATGATTAAA